AATATGCGTTTTTGCTGCCTGTTGCAGCGCTCTAGCGCTGCACGGCAAAAACGCATAAAAAGCCAGAAGCCAAACATCAGCTTCACCAACATGTTAGCACCTGGTGATACCGCTGTAGTCACAACTATCGTGCAGAAATCACTAGGTGGACTGTAAGAACAAGGCCACGCAAAGATGAAACGTCAGCTGTTGAGAGTAATAAATATAAGCAGATTATCAATAAAAAAGGTTTTTTTTTTTGCGAGATATTTCGAAGAAAACTTTACGTTAAAAAATTTTTAGCTTCCACTTCTCTTTTACTGGGTCAGCCTTCATCCTTCTGTACACTTTATATGCCTCCTGGATTGATTCTTCATTTGGAAATACGGATCTAATGCCCAAGCACAGAGCCCGAGCAAATTCTGTGTATTTAGGTGAAAATGCTGTTGATGAAGGTACCTCGACTCCTAATGCGGAATTTACAACTGAATCCAGAAGAGCCGCCAATTAAGCAGTTGCTGCTGCAGCAACCAGAACCCGAGCAGCCCACGCCACCGCAGCAAGTCCAGTTCAGAAAACCAGAGACAAAAGAAAAGCCACGTACACCAACTCCACAAGCTTCGCCTAAATGCTTGGAAACGGACATCGATTTTACTGCACATGCGCAGTTGCTGGCTGTATTTCATTTACCTCTTACTTCTATACTTTATTACAATTTATAATTTGACTTGTTGCTTGAAAGTTACAGACGTTAAATTAATTGGACGTGCCCTCATAATTCTTCTCGTGATTTGGATGAAAATATGAATTTATTGATAGACACAAATTATTTTACATAGCTGAACCTCCAAAAATAAGACTTGAATATAGCGCACCCGTATCACTAAAAAAATTTTGGTTGATAAGACTGATAGCCTAAATAAGCGTTCAGTTTTCAAAAGCATTAGCTCTATCCTAATTTTAATGTTATTATTCCATTAAGGAGATACGTCGAGGAGTGAAACTCCGACATGTATCACCAAATGCAAGCCGAAAACGCGACAAACAAAGTCAGGACAGCGCTCCTCTGCGAGACATAATTCTGGTCTGCCGTCATTCTTACATTCATGTTTCTCTAATTTTCGATAAATCAGCATTTTGGCCATTATTAGGCAAAATACTGTACATGACAATCAAGGCTGTTCAAACTTCAACTGTGAAATATTACTTGTGTTGTAAGCCGAATTCAGCACGAGCGCATTTATTCCAGGGCTTGTCCTGAATATCCGTAACATGTGCGAAATCTTGATATAATTGCCACAAATCTGTTCAGTTCAACAGCAGAATATGGCCCACCTTCGTAACAACGTTCCAAGAAATATAAAGATGTATTTGTGCGTTCAATCAGTCCTAGGCTCACATACAAACAGAACCACACTGGCGGTGTAGTAGAAGAAAAGGGGGTGAAGGGAGACACATCAAAAACAATTAAGGAAAAAACTGGCAACTTATTAAAATGTTGCAAAAATTACAGGCAGATAATGATACAATTAAGAAGGAATTTACTACTGAAAAGCGAGAGGACCCTACCATCGCGGGCATCCTAAGGCAGGCAATGAACAAGCGCCGAACGGTAATGGGATACAACTCATGTATGTACTTAAGCTACTTCATCACTGAGCGATTAGCTAGTTTTTAGCAACATACATGCACTGTCACTAGGCAAAACAGATTTATATTTTAAAAAGGATACTTTTTGTGTGTCGGTTGATGCTATTTATGGAATGGAACCTAGATGGCGATGCACCAGGCTTATCGTTGCGATCATGCGTTTCTGCATAATGGCACCGGTAAGCCTGGTGCATTGCCACCTAGGTTTTGTACAGAGATCATTTGCATCACTGGCATGTGAATGCGATGCTGCAGTCTGCGCAAAAATTGTCCGAATAACAAATCTATTTTGCCTAGCAACGGCGCCTGTGTGCTGCTAAAAATTACACGGACACAGAACATTCTTGTGAAATTTCAACTTCAAAGCTTCAGTAGCTGCATAGTTGAATGTGGGCAACAAAAACCCCAACATACACACATACACGCACAAACATACACGCACACCGCCAATCTCTTGACAGTATGCAACGCGTAACCCAGGCTGGAAAGCATCAGGTTTACCGGTGCGATCATCCGTTTTTGCACCGACCTTGAACTAATTAGGTTAACTGCATAAATGGTTGTTTCTTCACACCCACACTGTGCGCTCAATACAGTAAATCATCGTAAATTTTGCATAAATGGAAGTGAACAATTTCCGTTTAGCGGGTCGTTCTTTTTGAAAATGACCCAGCTGTACGATAAGTAATTTGCTCGCCAAAAATTTAAGTGCCCCGTACAGGAGAACCGCGCCTACGTGGAGGCTGAACATGAAAATTTTAAGTTGTATTTGGACGGGGAATATTTTTCTAGAATCTCAGCTTTCCAGCTTTTCTTGTCCCTGAGTTAGCAATTTTCCCGCCAAAACTTGCACAAGTCCGCACATGACCTGGGGCAACCTGGGGGCTGGGTTTGAAATCTTTAAGTTGTATATGGGCTGGGAACATCCCCTGAAAATTCCAGCTTCCCAGCTTTCCTCTTCTTCGAGTTAGCAATTCTTCCCGCCAAAAAATTTCACGGAGCCGTACGTGAGAACCACGCATGCCTGCAGGCTGAATCTGATAACTTTGAGTTGTGCATGAGTGAAGAACATTCTCTCAAAATTTCAGCCTTCCAGCATTTCTAGTTCCCGAGTTAGCTATTTTCCCGCCAAAAAATTTCACGAGACCGCACTTGATAACCATGTATGCCTGGGGGCCCTTCCCTTTCTCTTACTTGGCCTAGGCAGCAGCCAAAGGATCTACGTTGCGTAGCCATTCAGTGTACCCAGCCATTTCGCTCCATCAGCCTCGAATCTTTGCGCGCGAAACCCGCGCACACCTCCCCCGCCCCCCCTCCCCCGCCCTCATCCCCATCACAATTCCCTCCCCGCATCTCGAATCCAACGCCCAAAATTGTGTTCGTGCATTGCCAACCCTCTTCCCTCCCCCACCCTCCTCCCTTCTTTGCCCTCTACAGTGAACATCCTCCGAAGCTCTTCCCCTACTCCGCGCATTCGCGACAAATCCAGCAACACGGGTCCTGCTTCCTTCCTCCCACCACCCTCTCTCCTTGGGCGCTTGACGTTCCCACCCAACTAGTCCCCCTCCCGTGCCTCCGAACCCACGGCTACCATCCTCACACAATAGACTCCCCCCTCCCCAACCCTTTCCTCCCCCACCCCTCGCACTGTCCCCCTTTCAGTCCATTCCCCTTGCTCTCCCTCGTATCTCCCTCCCCTGCCTGCCCTTCACCCCGCCCCTCTCATCGCTCCCTACTACACAGTCTGCGAGCAAATTCGCAAACCGTGCAGCTGCCGAGGCCGGCCGAGGTCAAGCCGAGGCAGCCGAGGTCAGTCGAGGTGAAGCCGAGCCAAGCTTTAGTAGTTGCCTGAAAATGTTCGTGCATGTAGGTTTTATTAGTTGTTGGGCTAGGTGAGGTGGGTATGTAAGCGGTCGGTTGCGTGTTTCGAGTGCTTATTGCGGTTTGGGTCGGCTACGTGTCCGAAGTTGTCCACAGGTTCGGTGTGAGCATATATTTTGGTATCAAAGTGTTTGGTTGGTCAGCGGTGGGAGGAAGGGGGTGGATTTCTTGGAAAGTCTCTCTCGGACATTGAGTATCGCTGTTCGGGCGGATCCTTGCTGTGGTTGTATTATGACAGCGATGGCCATAAGTTCTGGAATTTCAGCTTTTCTCCCATTTCTGGTGCCTACGACTATTGCGTGCATCTGGCACAGCAGAAACAGGTTACGATATGCTACTGTTGTATTTCTAAATACACTATGCTTTGACCTCTTCCGGCATGCAGGGGAAAGGCGTCGTTTGGGATGAAAGTATTGCATTATAGGACCGCATGGACCACGAGGTACATGATTACCAGTTGTTTACACGAAGCTCGGCCGTTTTTTCAGTAAATGCAAACTTTTTGAAAAAATTATGCAAGTTTTTTGAAAAAATGCAAATTTCCAGTTCACTAAAAGGTGGAAGCATTGCTCGAGTGGTCGTTTGCGAAAAAAAATCCACATGTGCAAATGAACTAATGTTCATTTACATATTTGGATGAGGGCAGTCGTCCGCTGCAAGACCCACTCGTTTTTGATTTTTCAGTAAAGCTGAGTGTTTTTCACGCCTTCCTGGAGGGAATTCCACTTCCAAGCAGAATTAAGACCGCAACTGAAAGTAGAATATCCCAGCGAACTTCCAGCCTCGCAACTTATCCGGCAAGCGAAATATCCACTTCGCTACAAATATCTCCGAAGTGCCCTAAGTCGTGGCGCATGTGCATTTCGGTATTCATTTTAGGTATACTATTTCCTATATGGGAGACAAAAATCCTGACAAAATTTCAGCCACTGTCTTCCGGCAAATTTTCGAGTTAGCGTAGTACCAAGCCGCAAACTTTGACGTGATCGTACGTGCTTTACAAGCATGCTCGACAGCTGGGTTTAAAATGTTTAGCTCGCACGTGCACAGAGGATATCGAACGTTTCAGCTTCCTA